CCATTCCTGTGCGCATGGACGACCCAGATCAAACGTGCGCACGGACGGCCCAGATTGCACGCGTGTGGACGACCCGGATTTGATCACACACGGACGATCCAGATTTATTTCTAATTTAATCGCGATCGGACGGTTCAGATTAAATCGCGATGGACGGCTCAGATTAAAAGAGAAATGTTATAAATAATCTCAACCACACCCAACCCCTAACCTTAGCCACAAGAACCCTCGCCAGAGAAGACAACCCAGCCACCGGAGAAACTGACCGTCGCCACCCGCCGCTGCACCGGAGCACCTTCTGGCCGCCAAACGAGGTAAAATTTCTCTTATTGGCTCAGTTTTCGATGTTGAACCCACCTGTGGCCGAATCGGAGCCAAACCACCGGCCAATTGGCCGAAAAACACTACCGAAGCCCAGCGGCGCTGCCGCAGATTTTCTCAGTTTTTGCCTCCGATGAGGCCCTTCCCGATTCCCGTTCGATGTAATTTTTACACCACTATGACCACCGTCCTTTTCTCTACAGGTTAACCGGAGCAAAATACCAAAACCACGACTTGCGCCGGAGGAGTCGCCGCACCCGAGAGCTCCGCCGCCGGTAAGTCTCAATTTTCTGGATTTTTTTGCTCACCGAGGGCCCTAGGGGGTTTTATCACAGGAACCAATGCAAGTTTGGCCGAATTCGGCTGAAAACGGCCGAAAATGACCAACCCGAGGTAGATTGCCGCCGCTTGCGGCGACACCATCGCCGGAGCACAGCAGAGCCACTATGTTGGAATTTCGAAATTGGCCGAATAGGTCTTGGGTCTGATTTGAGAATTTTTTGGGGACATGTGCAGGTACTGGAAGTGTGTTTCAGTTTTCAAAAAAAAATTCAGAGAATCTAGGGACTGCTCATAGGCGTAGTGAGAACCCGATTTCAGACTCCGAAACAAGTAAGGATCACTCACCCTATTTTCTATCACGACATTAAAGCTTAATAAATGATAAAACAGTATTTTGTGAATAACTAGATATGTATAATTAATTAAGGTTGCTAATGGAGCCCGGATCTGATATATTTTTGGTCAGTTGTTGTTTTAGTTATTTTACAGTTGTAAATGCATTATGGTATCTGATTTATTTATCCTATGATTTTGAATGTATGAATCACTATTTACTTCATTTTATCTTGATTTGTGAATCCGATGATATGCTTGCATTGTTGGATGCTCGTTACTGGTTTAAATATTCACGATTATGTGAGAAACATAAAACTAAGAAAAGAATAGAAAAGGTATGCGAATTGATAAATGGATAAGTCGACAGCCTCACTAGATATCCTGGGAGATGGTGGACGGACCGAGTCCATAGGGTTCCGAGAACGTTGTCTCTCATACCGGACGGGGTATGGAGACTTTAAATGTTTTGGCACTAATACCAGACGGGGTATAGGGACGACCCACTTCACCCTTATACCTGACGGGATATTGAGGTTTATCATTTTGACGCCCATACCGGACAGGGTATGGGGACAGACTTGTAATTAAGTTGTTAAAATGAATGATTCACGTATAGCGGGGACCCCTATGGATCCCCATGGATACTAGTAGGCTGATAAAAGAGGAAATTTGTTGCTTGATAATTGAAATACAAAAGTATGATATGTGTTATGTTACAGAGTGTGCATGGTCTTATGATGTTTATAATGTTATTGTTTTCATAAGTTGTTTTTATGAATCTCGCCGAGGTAAGTGGACAGTAAATGGTTTTATTATTGATAAATGAATTTGTTATAAATTATGCTCCATTAGTCGTTTTTGTTTTCTACTAACCTTTACTTCTATGACAGTGAGATAGTGTGACATCTTTACTGAGCTAGTGTAGCTCATTCCTTACTTAACCATTTCAGATCAGGAGGACTTGGTTCCCGAGTCCGTTCCGTAGGAAGACGGCGAGTAGAAGCCTAAAGATTTATCTGTTTTTCTTATAGTATTCATTCATAATATTTTTTTTAGTTAGTTTATCCTTTCATATTTTTAATACGTTTTGATTATTGTGTAAGAGATGTTAATTATAATCTATTTTATTTCGCTTCCGCACTGAGAATAAATATATACATTTCTTTTTAATTTCCGGGGCCGTTACAAATTTGATGATTATAATTTTTACATTAAGAGAGAGTGTTGAAGATTAATGTAGAAATTATAAATTATTTTCTTTATTAGTTTAAATATATATTGGATTTATCTTTAATTAGATTTAGAATATTTTTATTTTTTAAAATATTATTTTATTAATATTAATTTATTTTTTAGAATATTTGATTAATATTTTATCTTCTAGATTATGATAAATTATTTTTAAAAAATTTGAATTTGATATAAACATATTTAAAAATATTTTTATTTATTAATTTTGAGCTAGTAAAGTTTATGAAAATTTAAATTTTCTTCACTAAGAAAAAAAACTCCAACATATACTACATTTAGCAAAGACTAACATGGAAACCCATGAATTGGACAACTCATGTTATTAGCCTAAGTTTGAGTTGAGCTCAATTAATGAGGTAAGTTTAGCTTATTTCATATTAAAAATTTATATATACATATGTACATAAAAGAATTTACTGTAGAAGAATTTAATTTGTTGCACGGGCGGCGAAGATATTTTGAAGGGGAGACGAACTTTTTGGCCTTTCTGAGCCTATTGTAAATACCTTTGGAGATAGGGAACTCTCAGTGGCCACTCATTCTTTCCGTGATTGGAGATAAGGAGTGATTCAGAAGAGTTGCAGAGGTTCTTCTAGCTGTCAAATATGTCTTCTACCGCCCATATGCACATGGACCCCCTTCTCTCATTCTTTTCATTACAGTATTTGTTTTTTGGACTCATCTCCTCATTTTCTTTAACCTATTGATCCAGAAATATCCTCCTTATTAATTATTAGTTGATTTTTTTTGGTGAAAATTCATACCTAATTAAGTAAATAACACAGTCCACCTCCTAAAGAAAACACACACAAGGTGCATGCATGTCCCAAGAGCTTCATCTTAAATTTGATGCTGACTCTAAAAGTTAATATGGCCTAGACATCAATGTGATTGCAACATGTGAAAAATCCTTAGCTAACAATCATTCCTTCATTAATATTTGTTTAATGATTCAGAGAAGTTATGAACGGCCATTTTCCTCCACCCAATCAAAGAATATAACTTGAAGCTGCAGACGTTAAAATGATAATGAAAGAATACTCAGAAAACAACATTATTATTAAGTCAAATGATTAGCAATGACCTTTCCAGATTCTAGAAAGACGTTCCGTACTCAAAAGAGAGAGAGAGAGCGCATTCACCAAGAAAGACAATGAAAAAGAAAAAGCGAAAGAGAACTCTTGTCATTTTCTGGAGAAAATCTAAGAAGATTACTTGACGACATCCATAACAGCTTGACATCTATTAACTCCAAGTCAGGCTGTAAATTGTGTTACAGTTTATGTACAATATACTGTATGAATATATATAAATTTTTACTGAAAAAATTCCTGAACTTGTGGAGAGGTAATTGAATTTCTGAATTATATTAGGTGCACGTGAATATGCCAAAAAATATCCTCACCTTCCCGGTCTATATATACAAATGGTCTAAAAGAGCATGCAGTGAGAAATTAGAGTGACGACCAGAGGTGGTGATTGGCGAAGATGATTCTCCCTATCTTCTTCTTCATCTCTTCACTCCTCATTTCCACCTCCTTTGGTGCCGTCCAAGACTTCTGCGTAGCCGACTTGTCAGGTCCACAGAGCCCTGCTGGCTTCTCTTGCAAGAACCCAGCCAAGGTCACGGAAAATGACTTTGCTTTCTACCTCGGAAAGGCCGGAAACACCTCAAACCTTATCAAAGCCGCGGTGACTCCAGCATTCGCGGCTCAGTTTCCAGGTGTGAACGGGCTTGGGATCTCCATGGCTCGTTTAGATTTAGCCGCAGGAGGAGTAGTGCCAATGCACACGCACCCAGGTGGATCAGAAGTGCTTGTTGTCGTGGAAGGAGTAATATGCGCTGGATTCATTTCATCTGCAAACACAGTCTATCTTAAAACCCTATACAAGGGAGATATCATGGTGTTCCCTCAAGGCTTACTGCATTTTCAAGTCAATTCAGGAAAGTCTTTTGCGACTGCTTTCGTCTCCTTCAGTAGTTCAACTCCCGGTCTGCAGATCCTGGACTTTGCACTGTTCGCCAACGATTTGCCTTCTGACTTAATTGAAAAAACCACTTTCCTTGATGATGCGCAGGTCAAGAAACTCAAGGCTGTTCTTGGTGGGACTGGTTGATTAAATTGAACTACTTTAATAATTTCGTCTTAGTTTATTAGTTTCATGTTATGGTCATTGTTTAGGTTTAGGATTATGGTTGGTTTCCGTTCACTTTTTTTCTCTAATAATTGATTAGTTTCTGGTGTTATTATTGTGGAGGAATTGTAGTTGAGCTCACGATGAGTGCAGTATGTTAAGTGCGACGTCGTTTGTAATAAGTTACAATTATGTTGAATATTTAGTTTAATGTTTGCATGGTTTTATTTTTATACAAAAAGAAAAAAATATTAAATAATTATTACACAAATGATTGAATTAAAAATAATGTAAATGTAAACGGTGATATTTTATTTGATTAATTATTTTATAAAATTTGCAATCAATATTGAAACAAAAATAATTACCAAAAATTTTTAAATATTACATACTAAAATTATTTAAATAGTATCATAATATTTTTCTTCAAAACTTGTCGACTATTTGTAAAATAGTTATTTCAATTTATTCAATAAAACTATTAATTTTAAATTATTATTTTTAATTTTTGAAATAAAAATTAGTTAACAGAATTTACAATAAATATAAAATTTTTAACAATAAAATTAGAAAAAATTACTAATTTAGCTGCTGAAGTTTGACACTTAATACCATTTGGTCCCTTATATATATATATTTTTTGTTACAATTTGGTCTTTTAAACTTTTTGTTTTGTACTTACATTTTCTAACAGAAAATGTTAAAATAGTTATGTTATATTTAAATAGTTTAAATATTTAGAATAATGATTTTTACTAATTAATTAAATTAATAAATTAATAACAATATTAAGTCTATTTTTAATATTAATTAAATTCATTTTTTTGAGTTTTTTTTTTTTAAGACATCCAAACTTAATGTAATCAATTTAGTTTTTTCTATTAGGAAATAGAAAGAAACTAGACATGTAAAACCAATAGAAAATGTTAAAAATCAAATTATAATGAAAAAAAGTTACAAATCAAATTGTAACAAATGTCAAAATTTAAAGAGTAAATTAGTATTTTGTTCATAAATTTGTTATTATATTCTTATTTTTGAAACAAAAAATTAATAAATTACTAAATATAAAATTAGTAAATATATCATGAAATTATTCATCTATGTAACACCCAACCTTTTTTTTTCTTTTTATTAATTATTATTGTATGAATATAATTATTATTTATGTAATTTTATATTGAATTTAATTTAGTTTAATTTATTTTAATAGAAATAATAATAATAATAATAATAATAATAGATAAAAATTATTTAGAGATTTAATTGAAAACAACTTTGGGAAAAAATGGTGAAAATTTGGGTTCTGAGGGTATTTTTGAAAGAAAAATTAGAAACCGGGGGTCAAAACACAATTTAAAAAAATTGTGCCACGTCAGCTGCTCGGTCAGCAGCCTCGGCCAACCAGGACACGCCAGGTGGCAGAGACGCTGACGCGGAAGGCCACGCAGAGGGGAGCCACGTGGACGATCCGCGTGCGCTCGATTGAACAGCTGAGATCCGTTCCCGCGCGCACGGACGACCAAGATCGAAAGCGCGCACGGACAGCCCAGATTGAATCGTGATGAACGGTGCAGATTCATTTCCTATTTAATCGCGATCGGACGGTCCAGATTAAAAGTGATGGACGACTGAGATCAAAAGCGGATGGGTATAAATAACATTATCCGCACCCAAACCCTAACCCTAACCGCCAAAGCCCCTCGTCAGAGAAGACAGCCCAGCCGCCGGGGAGCCGATTGCTGCCACCCACTGCCGTACTGGAGCAATTTCCAGCCGCCAAACAAGGTAAAAATTCTACCATTTGCTCAGAATTTGATTCTAAACCCACCTATGATCAAATCGGAGTGAAAGCACCGGCCAACTGCCCGAAAAATGCCGCCGAAACTCAGCGGTGCAGTCGCGGGGTATCTCGATTTTTGCCTCCGATGAGGCCCTTTTGGATTCCCGTTCGATGTGATTTTTCCACCATTGTGATCACCGTTTCCTCCTTTACAGGTTGACCTGAGCAAAATACCCAACCGCGACGTAAACCGGAGGAGCTACCGCACTAGAGAGGCCCACCGCTGGTAAGTTTTAGTTTTTTGTATTTTTTCGGCCCACCGAGGGTCCTAAGTGTGTTTTCTCATAAGAACCTATGCAAGTTTGGCTGAATTCGGCCGAAAATGGCCGAAAATAGCCAACCCAAGGTGGATCGCCGCCGCGAGTGTCGGCGTCGTTGCCGAAGCACGGCGGAGCCACCATGCCAGAATTCTGAAATTGGCTGAGTAGGCCCTGGGTCTGATTTTTGAGTTATTTGGGACATGTATAGGTACCGTAAGTGCGTTTCAGTTCCCAAGAAAAAAAATCAGGGAATCCAAGGACCGCCCGTAGGCGCAGTGAAAATCTAGTTTTCGGTGTCAAATCAAGTAAGGACCCCTCACCCTATTTCCTATTATGGAATTGAAGTCTGAATAAATGATAATACTGTATTTTGTACAAATTAAATTAGATATGCATAATTAATTACGGTTGCTAATTGAGCTCGAACCGGATATATTTCTTTGTCAATTCTTGTTTGATTTATTTTACAGTTTAAATGCATTATAATTTATGGTTTATTTATTCTATGATTTTGAATGCATGTTTCACTACTTACTTCACTACTGTTTGATTTTGGGAATCTAAGATATGCTTGCTTTGTTGGATGCACGTTACTTGTGTATGTATTCATGTTTGAGTTGGTAATGGAGACTAAGGACAAATAGTAATGGGATGAGATTTGATAAGTGGATAAGATGACAGCCTCATTAGATATCCTGGGAGATGGTGGACGGACCGGGTTCATAGAGAACCCTACCATAGACGTTGTCTCATACCGGACGGGGTATGGGGACGGCTAGCTTCACCCTCATACCGGACGGGGTATAGGGACGGCTAGCTTCACCCTCATACTGGACGGGGTATTGAGGTTTATTGTTTTGGTGCTCATACCGGACGACGGCTCTGGAATTAAGTTTGTTAAGGGGAATGGTTCACATGTAGCGGAGACCTCTATGGATCCCTATGGATATTAGTAAGCTGATAAAAAGAGACAATTGTTGTTTGATGATTTGAATATAAAAGTATGATATGTGCCATGTTACAGATTATATATGAATTCATGGTATTTATAATGTTATTGTTTCCAAAGGCTGTTTTTATAAATCTCACTGCGGTAAGTGGACGGTAAATTGTTTGATTATTGATAAATGAATTTGTTTAAATCTACTGCTTCATTGGTTGTTTTAATTTTCTACCAACCTTTGCTTCTGTGACGTGATTAGTGTGATGTCCTTACTGGACTAGTGTAGCTCATTCCTTATTTAACCATTTCAGATCAGGAGGACCTGGTTTCTGAGCCCAATCCACAAGAAGACGGCGAGTAGATGCTAGATACCTTATAGTTTCCTTTATTTTTCTTATTTCTCGTATTTCTTTTAGAGAACTTATTCTGTGATATTGTTTGGTACTTTTAAGTTATTGTGTAAGGGATATTAATCTTAATCTTTTATTTCGCTTCCGTACTCAGATTATAATATGTATTTCTTTTTGAATTTCTGGGGCCGTTGCAATCTATCTATGATACATTTGAAATTTCAAAAGTACATGCTTTTAATTTTTGGTTTTATTTTTTTGTTAAAAGTCAAAACTAAATCCAAGTTTTAATTAAAAGTAGTTCGATTTCATACGTCTTGTAGAGCTTATGTTTGTTGTCGCATAAATAAATGCAAAAAACTTGGCTAAGCAATCATTTATATGCAAAATATACACCTATAAACTTTTTCCAATTTGTGTTACAATTAAATCAAACTAGATCTGAAAATAAAACTGTAAACAAATCTCGTACTGAATCAAAGAGAATAAATACGGAAGCGTACTTAAATCCTTAGTGGAATAAATCTACACGTCTTGTGATAGATCTTTCAAATTAGCACATAGTCTTTTGAGTTTTCACACTCTCTATATTTCTGTTGATGTGATATCAGAATAGAAAAATATTACATGTAATTTGGTGACAATAATCGCCTATTTATAGGCAAAGCCTGCCTGTTAATTTTTTATATTTCTAATTTGTCCCATCACAAAATTAAGAATTACAGATTTAGTCTATACACATAAAATAAACCTCATACTTTAATTTGATGTATTAAGTCTCAATATACCCTTAACCATATCGGATCACTTCTAACTAGACCCAATTAATTTGATAGCTTTTGATGCATAATAATTTACACAACTCCCACACTGTAAAGTCAGAACCCAACAATCTCCTACTTGGGTTATATGTGTTACCTCATAATTGTGCATTTAATAACTTTATGAGTACTCAGAATTTTGTTATCATTACTTGAATACATCCCTAAACAATCTGGTCCATTGATCACATTAACATAGGATCAAAGCGGGCTTCGCTATATCTGTCATAACTAAACCCATAAATGGTCATGTATATATATTGTAAAGGCCTTAAAAATACCCAAAGGAAATAGATAATAACTTAAGTGCGGAAGCGAAATAAAATGGTTAAGGTTTACATTCCTTACACAATAACTTAAAAGTACAAAACAACATTACGGAATTCACCCTTTCGAAAAAAACACAAGAAATAAGGAAATAAACAGAAAAGAGAAAATATCTAGCATCTACTCATAATCTTCTTGCGGATTGGGCTCTGTAACCTGGTCTTCTTGATCTGAAATAGTTAAATAAGGAATGAGTTACACTAGCTCGGTAAGGATATCACACTATATGGCCGACATAGAAATAAAGGTGGGTATAAAAATAAAAATAACTAATGGAGCACTAAATTTAGTAAATTCATTTATCAATCATAAAATCATTTACCGTTCACTTACCGCAGTGGAATTTATGAAAACAACCTATGCAGATAATAATATCATACGGATATTAATTTCATGTAGGATCAGCAACATAGCACATATCATAAATCTATAAACATCATCAAATAACCAAACAATAATTATCACCTTTTCATCAGCCTACTAGTATCCATGGGGGTTCATAGGGATGTCCCCGCTACACGTGACCCCTTTACTTTAACAATCTCAATTACGGGCCGTCCCCATACCCCGTCCGGTATGAACACCAAATTATTAAATCTCAATACTCCGTCCAATATGAGGGTGAAGTGGGCCGTCCCCATACCCCGTCCGGTATGAGCTCCAAATTTTCACATCTCCATA